CAATCGATCAATGATCTGTTCGATTACTTTGAAGATTTCTGGATGGAAACTGTTCCAATAGACTTGTAGAATGTGTTCGATCTTAAAATACGAACAAACAACAATGTAGAGGGTAAGATTCTTTTTCTTTCTTTTTCGCTTACGATATTTGAATATGGTTCACTCAGGATGGCGCAATAGATTTGTTCATCCCATCGACAAGAAACATCCGAATATATGGCATTTCATCTGTATATTTCAAAAGAAAGAAGTTCGCTTCAATCAATATGTTCAACATATGAAAACGGGCAAGAAGAAGTTGTATGAAAAATGAACATGTTGCGTCCAATAGCGTCTCGAAATCTTTGCAGATCGATTCAAAACGAAAGAGATCAACCTTGCTGAATATATCCAGGACCTGTCGCTTTTGATCGCAAAGAAAAAGATGATATTGAATGAAAACAGAACAAATTAATCCTTCTTCGTACTGGAGTTTTGTTTGTTTCTTCTCACTATCTATCTCTGTTAGTTAACTTTGTAAATGTGTTCTATATCTACAATTAGACTATTTGTTATTTTCTCTTGTAACTGCTTGGTCAAATAAAAAGAATATAGGCTAATGCTTTTGAACATTGGTACTTCACGAATATTTTTCGACAAAAAAATGTCGACGAGAATGATATTATTACCTATTTAATCACAGGGTGTCGTAAAAGTTCGTTAGGAAAGTAAATTCGTATAACTTTCTTATTTGTCAAAACAAACCAACCAATTTTATGTCATATGGTAGACATCATCGTGAAGTTGTTTTTGATACGAATAAACTTTGCAAATAATGTTAAAAGTGAACACTTTTGACTGAAATTTGGAAAATACATTTTTTCGAATTTCACTGAAAAAAAACGATGTTTAGGTGGTTGTTTTGATTGTTTCATTTTTTGCGATATTCTGAATTTTGCAGTTTTTACTACCGTTTTATAAGAATTTTTTCCAGATACCTTCATAAAGAGAAGTCTAGTATTAAAACTCGCTGATATATCACAACATGTTAATAGAACGGTAGTAGAAACTGCAAAACTCAGAATATCGCAAAAATTGAAACAATCAAAAAAACCACGGGAACCTCGTTTTTTTCAGTGAAATTCGAAAAAATGTATTTTCCAAATCTCAGTCAAAAGTGTTCACTTTTAACTTTACTTGCAAAGTTTATCCATAGCAAAAAGAAACTTCGCGATGATATGTACCATATGACATAAAAATTGGTTAATTTGTTTTGACAGATAAGAACGCTAGAAGAATTTACTTTCCTAACGGACTTTTGGGACAGTCTGTATATTAAATGTTCACCTATGAAATAAACACTCTTAAAAAAATAATTAAACGATTTTTATTTAAATTCTTGATATTGAAACAATGTTAATCGACGAATAAACAAAATTTTTATATTCAATATGAAATGTTTTTAATATTTCTCTTAACGAGTTGTGCAGAAAAATCTTTAAAAGAAATGATTTTTATCTAAATAAAATCATTTTTTGAATGTTGAACAAAAAAAAACTTTAAAAATAAAAACAATGTTAAAATATTTCAAATTGGTTAAATAAATGCTAATTTAGTTCAATTACTCAAATTGTTTCATATTTAATTAAAATAAACTAATCGTTCTAATAAATTTATTTAAATAAATAATCAAATGTCGAATGTTTAACTTAAATCTTTAAGATAGTTAAATATTGATTATCAATATAATAAAATTGCATTGGATTTTTTAAATATAATATCAACATTTATTAAAAGCGATTTTTAAATAAATATGTTAAATCTATTCAAGGTAAACACATTCATACCGGATAATAATATATCCTTTCATCAAAATAAACATAGATTTTATTAAGAAATTTTCAAAAAGATTTTTGTTTTCAATGAAAATATTCGAAAATTGATTAAATAAATAATTAGGAAAACAAGTTGAACACATTTAAATAACATTCGAACAAGGGGGAAACAGCAGAGACTTCAGCCGTGAATTATCATGAAGTCTTGAAAGTCTTTCGAAGTCTTCTGAAGTCTCTTGAAGTCTTATGAGGTCTCACAAAGTCTCTGAAGTCTCATAAAGTTTTATGAAGTCTCATGAAGTCTCATGAAGTCTAATAAAGTCTCATAAAGTCTTATGAAGTCTCATGAAGTCTTTTGAAGTTTCATGAATTCTTCTGGAAGTTTTGGAATACATTTATCCCAGGACAAACAGTCAGACACTAAGATCGGACAAGATTCTGTGTCTGATCATCTATGATCTTGTACAATTCATACCAAATCGTACAAAAAAATCTTAGCCTCTGAAATCTTACATCAATTCTTACTGTAAGACTCATGACAGATTTTGTTGTCTTGCCAAATCTTACTGTAAGATTTTAGAAAATCTTATGCGACGGTAGGATCTGATAGAAATCTTGCAGTAAGAATTGATATAAGATTTCAGAGACTACGATTTTTTGTACGATTTCATATATTCGTACAAGATCTGCTGTCAGATTTTTCGACCTGGGTAGTGCATGAAAATTCATAAGAAACCAATGAAATTGTCTTGTTTTCGATGGTCTTATTTTAGCAGAAAGGGGAACTTTTTATTTTTTTTTTCAATGTGCTGGAAAAAAAACTCAAGTTTGGTGGATCTTAGAAAACATGATAGTTAATAACTGAATGCTTTTTGAATGAAATGATTTATTTTTATAAGAAATGTTCCATCTATTGAATGTCAGTCTTATGAAGAATTTTATTCCTTTTTGTTTGTTTCTATCACTCGTGATAATCTATCAGTCGATAAACGGCTAGCTTTGTCGGTCAATAAGCAACCAGCCGTTTGCTTGTGTATAGATTTAGTCTTGTTATTTATTTGCACCTGAAAATAGGAGTTTTTCAATGCTGGATTAATCGAATCAACTATACGCGTACCAGTAAAGTTTATTGTCTTAGTTTTAATTTCATCAACGCTTTGTGTCATTGCCACATCTTTATTCTAGATATGGATATACTGCGAGAAACAATTCTCAGAAACAAGAAACACTTTTGTAATCTCTATATGATAAGTTTTGTTTTTTGCATGTTATAGAAGTTTCATGTAATTTCTATAAGGTTTTCTGATACTCATAGAATTTGCCTCTTGAAGTCTTGTGAAGTCTTAGGAAGTTTTGTGAAGTCTGGCGAAGTCTTGTGAAGTTTTATGAAGTCTTGTGAAGTCTTATGAAGTCTTATAAAGTCTCAATAAATCCTACAAAGTCTGTGAAGTCTCACAAAATCCGTGAAGTCTCAGGAAGTCCGTGAAGTCTCACGAAGTTTGTGAAGTCTCACAAAGTCTTTTGAAGTCCTCTGAAGTCTCATGAAATCCTATGAAGCCTTGTGAAGTCCTTTGAAGTCTTAGGAAGTCTTTAGAAGTCTTATGAGGTCTTTAGAAGTCTTTTGAAGTCTTGTGAAAATATGAAGTCACTATGGTTGAAGTCTTTTGAAGTCTTGAAGTCCGCTGTTTCCCCCTTGCATTCGAAATAATTGACATTGAACATACCTATATGATATTTAATATAATATTTATTCAATAAAAGTCTACTTCTCTTCTCCTCCTCTTCCTCAAAAACCGATTTCGTGTCAGTTAAAATCAAATCTCACGAAATGTTCAGTTCTATATGATCACGTTTCCTAGAGATATGCATAGAACAAGTCTTAAAAAACCAGACCAGTTGAACGTCTGAATAAGCTCTTGAAAATTGGCATCTGCTCATATACATGTTTCGATAATTTAATTAAAAACAAAGCTTTATTAAAGAAAAGGTTTCATTTTTGAGGAGATGAACATAACGAACTTGCTCGAAAATGTTTTATTTAAATAATTGGAAAGTTGAGTTGAGTCTTCTTTTTATTAAGATAATATTGATCAAAATTAATTTTTACTATTATGAAAAGTAAAAGAGTTATTTAGATTTACAAATAATCATCGAAGAGAAAGAGAATAAAAACCAAAACAAATGATTTATTGTTATGATATGAATAGATCAACTTTTCTTTTTTTTTTTATCAATCATCTTCAAATTTATCAAAATACTTTAAAGTTAACTTAAAATCATTATTTTCAATCGAAACAACTGAAGATTTGTTTTTTTTCTAAAATAAAAATACAATTTTTATAGGTGAAAGTGAGGGAAATTATAAAAAAATTTTCTCAAAAAAGTGATTAACAATTTAAAATCTGGTATGATTTCTTAAATAACACAAGTGAGACAATATTCTTATGAATTTATGTTAAGTGAAATTTTTTTTTGATGAAGATTGAGCTTAGTGAAGGATGCGAGCAAGAGCAAGATATGCCATTTCTATATTCAAACTGAATTTTTTTTTTTATTTGAATAAATGAATAAATTTACAAAATCGATTAAAATGATGATTATCATCAGTCAAATATATTCAAGGATTTTTTTCTCGATCAAAACAGATTTTAAACATATTTAATTATGGAAATTTACTCCAAAAAATCAATTAAAATAAAAATAAAGAAAAAAAATCAGTCGATATGATATTGATTGAAAACAAAAATCGAAATAGATTATTATTTTCTCTGAGAAGATTCAATTTATGAAAATAATCGTTTAATCAATTAATCTGAACACTTTTTATTATTAAAAAAAAACATTTTTTTCAAACAAAAAAAAGAAAATAAATGTTGAAAAAAGTAAAACTCCTATTTATTATAATTTCATAATAAAAATCTTGACAAAATCTTTTTATTTTTATTTGACTCGTGAGAAATTTATTCATTTGAAATATTTTACTTATTCATAACTAATAATTTACTCATTTAAATAATTAAGAAATTTATTTTAAAAAAAAACCAAGCAAAACTCATGCTCAAAGCATTCTTTATTTGATATATATGTCTTTTTCTTAAATCTCTATATAACAAATGAAAATAATCAACAGCAAAAACAAAAAAAACTAGCGAACTAAAATGAAAACAAAAGTTGATTTAATAAAAATTAAAAAAATAAAATTTGTATTGATCCACACCGAGTTGATTTAAAATCTTCTGCATTAATATGATATTGATTATACCGGGGTATGTATTTACTGATTAATCTTGATAAAATCCCTTCAATATTTACTTCATCTCGTTCAAAATAACAACCAATTTCAATTTTTTTTAATCGAACTAATTTACTTTTTAATAATTCATCTAAAACATCACAAACAGAAACAGGACGATGTTTATGATGACAACGATTATCTATATATGATCGAATTGGTCCTTCATCATTTGTTAAAACAGTTTTTAATACTAAATGATAAATATTTGGAAAAGCATCTATTATATTATGAAGATAATTTCGTTGAAATGTATAAACATGTAATTCTGATAGTTTATATATATAATCATTATTTGTTTCTTCTAATAAACGATTTAATAATCTTTGATTTATAATTAATTTATTTAAATTTGGTAAAAGACGAATAAATCCTGTTTGATTTTGACAACTATTATCAAATATAACTGTTCGAATTGAATTAATTAAATAACGAGATTGACAAAATAACGATTTTGAAAATAAATATTCAGCTGTTGATGATGAAAAACGAATTGATTCTAATGAAGGAAATGATTTTCGCATAAAATTTAACAAATTTTCTGTTATTGAACATGATAAATCAACATGTTTTACATAAATCATACCAAATTCTTTTTCATTTTCACATATATTATTCGATTCTAGAAAAGAATTTATTTGTTATTGATTAAATCATTTTATTCTTTATTTATATTATTCATAATCAGGAACCAACTCAACAATAACCTATTACAAACCAAATAAAATCTTATCTTTCGAAATAAAAATATCATTTTTCCATCATATATATTCAAATAAAGGTTAGTCTTAATCTTTTAATAAATGACGAAAACTGTCAATTTTCCATATTTTTCTTAAATAGATACTTTTTAAAATCTATATATTTGGTAAAGATCAATTGAGAAAAATATTCTCTAAAAATATTTGATCATAAATGAAAATAAAGGAGAGTTAAATAGTTGGTCTCCTAATTGTATACTCTCGATAATTGATTCGACTAAGAAATAAATAGATATTGTTTTCAATTGTTGAAGAGAAATTTTTGTTAATTTATATAAAAAATAAAAAAATTTACTTTGAAAAGTTGTTTTAATTCCATAAATAAAATATTCATTGATACATTGATCAAGACGTTGAAATTTAAATGGTAATGTAAATAAAAAATGCATATCAGTTAACTGATTTGTATAAGATCCAAAATTCCATTTAAATGAACGAAATTTCTCCATTGATTTTATTTCATATCCACCATAAGATTGAATAAATAAATCAAATTTATCTAATTTAGGTAAATATTTAAATAAATTATTTTCTAAACGATATCCATCGATTTTTGTATTTATACATCCAATTATATAAAGACGAAGTTTTAATAAATTTGAAAATTGTTGGATTAATGATTCAATTATTGAATAATCAGTTACAAAATAAACAAGACCATTTTTTGAATCAATCATATATGAAAAATCAATTAAATTATTTGAATAAGAATTTTTCTTTAATAAACCATTTTCTCGACAACTAAATTAAATAAATATCTAAGAAAGATAATTATCATTTAGAATAGAAATCTACCTTGTCACATCATAATCAATAGTTGCATCGACTTTTTCAACAATTGGTAAACCATTTAATAATTCAACAAGATCCCAATGACTTTTAAGATGGATTTGAACTTGTTTCAAATATTGACAAATAATAAATGGTTTTTGCCATGTTAATGCATGATTTTGAACTGTTAATATTTGTAAATATTCAAATATAAATTGTTCGTTTGAATGAATATAGTAATCATTTTCAAGTAAAAGATTTAATTTAATAAGTTTATTATTTGATGAAAATGATAAATATTTAAATTGATAATCATTTAATTTTATTGAATAAATATCATTATTTATCCCTTTTTCTAAACAATAATATTTAAATACATTTGGATGTAATTTGGTTAAATCAACATGTTTGCATGTAAAACGAGGATAATTTTTTAAAAGAATATTTATTCGTTTATTTAGATTTGAAAATGAATAAATAATATCAACTGGATTTAAGTAATCAAATATACATAAATATAATTCGTTTGGAAAACTATCAAATCCACTTTTACTAGACATTTTTTTTAAACATATTTATTCGAGGTATAATATTACATTTTTTTTTTACCTTCGTCATTAATTCAATCACGTCTATCGATTTTCAATTTATTGTTGCTAAGCAATGACCCTCATTTTATTTACATTAGTTCATTTATTTTCTGTCGGTTAGAAAATTTTTTTTCTATAAATTTTAAGTATCTTTCTTAAATCTCTCATGTTGTTTTCATCTGCTATTCATCTGTACTTCTCCGAATATATATATATATGGAAAAAATCGAAACCTTTTTCTCTTATTTATAATTTCAATATCATAATATGAATGCATATTTATTCAATATAGATTCATTTTAATATTCAATTTAGGTTATTCTCTTTTTTTCGTTTCTATACTCATTTCTTGTTCGACATTAATTTTATTTTTGCTTCTATTGTCTTTTTTCACATTGAAATAATCATTTTTTGTTGACGAACAGAAATTTGTTTAACTCTTTAAATGAGACGATCAACGACCAGAATATTATCATAATTATAGTCAAAATTATATCATCTTCTAGTAATTATCAAATATTTTTGCTTCATTTGTTTTTTACACCATTCATACATTATATTGTTTAATCAAAAAAAGATATTCGAATATTAAATTTAAGAAATTTTAAAATATATTTTCCTAACTTCCAATTAAGTGTTTCACTTAAAACTAATTCAAATAATAAACAAAAAATATTCCATTATAAGAAAAAAGCAATAGATCTTCTATTTGTTACTATTTATAGAAATTAATCATAACATACTTGAGTAAAAGCACTTTTACAGGACAAAACACATTCATCTAACATCAAACACATAAAAACTCCTATATATCGTCAAAATAATTTCGAACAATTATCAATTAATTTATTAAATCAGAAAATAACATAAAAAATAATCTGACAGTCAAACAAAGGATTTTCAAATAAATAATATCAAAAAAAAAACATTCTCAGAGTCGTTTTATAGGACCGAATTTGATCTATATCATTATTCAACATTTCCTCATCTTCACCGTTTGTTTATCATTCACAGCAAACAACATATTTACATATTATACTACTATCAAACAAATTTATATCTATTTCCATAAAATTAACATTTTTTTTTTCGATTTATTATTTATCTTTGTTCCAGCATCATCATAGAAAATGTTCATTCGAAAAAAAATCTTTTCAATAGGGACATACGATTAAATAGATTTATAGTTAATATTATCTATCATGTATTAAACAATATTTCAAGTTAATTAATCATCTTTTGTTTGAACGATTATTGATCAAAAAATAAAACAATGTCATTATCGACTATTAGAATATTGATTTAAAATAATTTATATTTGATATTATTCGATATAAGATATATATCTCTAGATATTCAATTATATATCATTGAATTATTTTTTTTTTTAAATTAATCAAATGAGAGAGAATATCTAAGAGCCTACTGATAATATACTGAAAAAAGTTCATAAAAAATAAATATTTTATTTTCAAGTTAGTATATAAAAGAATGTTAAGATTTCCTATGAAAAATAATTTATTATTATTATTTTTTATTCTACTAAGTAAAACTAAGAAGTATTCGTTGAAATATAGAATGTTGTTGTTGTAGAAAATGAATAAACAATGAGACAACTTATCCTGATAAATAATTGTTCAATCGAAAACTGTAGATTGTCTTAGATAGAATTTCATCGTCCTTCAAATCAGATATCATCTGATGATTTATTCTGAAAATTCGAGACTATGTTCGTCGAATAATCCTTTTTGAAAAAACCTATAGATTATATGGCAATGAAAACTTCTTACCTTTAATTCATGGAATAAAAAAAAATAATAAAAAATAATATTTCATGGGAAATCTTAACATTCTTTCATATACTAAGTTGAAAATAAAATATTTATTTTTTATGAACTTTCTTCAGTATATTATCGGTAGGCTCTCAGAAATTCTCTGTCATCTGACTGATTTAAAAAAAAATAATTCAATGATATATAATTGAATATCTAGAGATAAGGAGTGGGCCAGATGTGTTGACTCGATTTGTATAATAAATTTTTCTAAAGTAAAACACGTGTTTGTAAATTTCTTTCTATAATAGAAAGATGCAGTAAAAGACGCTCTACAAAATGGCTAATGATTGAGTCTGTTAGGTCATCTAATAAGAAAGTTATAAGCTTAGAAATATACTTCACAAAAAATAAAAATTAACCATAACTCTTTAGAAATCATAAAGACGTTTGTTTATATAAAAAAGTTGCTTTACTTAACATAATGTTTCTTTATCATGGATATTACAATCAAAATCTATTAGAATCAATGTTCATAAACTTGATTTCCATTATCTTGTATCATCTTTGTCAGACGTTTTGGTATATTATCTATCATTGCTTCACATTGTTCAGGTGTAATTTTTTGTCATTCTGCACTAACAAAATCAATTAATGCATCAAGATTTTCAAATATTTTTCCTCTTCTTTTTTCTTTCATAATGCCCCAAATATTTTCAATAGGCCATACATCTGCAAATTTGGCATCTTCATCATTTAGTTCAATTCTTTCTTCAAAAAGATCATAAACAACATCCATAGCTACTTATATTCTATGTTTTGCATCTTGATCGTCTTGGAAAATTACTTCCATCCAAATTTTGCACTACTTCATTAATTGCTGGAATAGCTTCTTCACGTAAAAATCTAGCAGACAATTCACCAGTCTTGTACATTCTTTTACGTTTATCATTTTGATGTTGATCTTGTAACCATTGAGTAAAATTAATGGAACCATCGTAAGGTATCAAACCTCTCGTTGCAAATTCTACCCCAAAACATAACACCATTTGGATATTTTAACATTAACGTTTCTCTTAAATTAGCAGGAATCTCAGAAAAATGTTCAGCATACATGACATCATTTTTGCTATTGTGAAAACCTTCAATTGTAGATATTCCTAAAAAATCAGTATTAACAACTTTGTTCCATTGCCATTTCGGGCCATTTTTTCTTGTACCAAATTTTCGTATTAACTTTTTAACACAAGCAACATGTCGTTGTTTGTTGGATGCTGTCAAAGTATTATACTTTTCTCAGTTTGAATGGTTTTAATTTTAATTCTTCAATTGTTCTTCTACTTGATGTTCTTTTACCTTGAATATTTTTACATTATAAATCAAAAACCATCTTCCATTGACTTTGACCGTTTTTTAAATGTATTATTCGTTTTACTGTTTTTTTGAACTGTTCTATTCGAACAGTTCTTGATGAACCATAGTTTGGTCTATCTTTTACAGTTTCCCTTTGTAATATTCAATTTATTTTTCTTCTTAATGTATCACGAGATAATGGAAGATGATTTTCATAAGGTTGCAATTCATCAGCGATGTTGGCTGCCATCAAGGTGGGATACATTTCCTTCAAAGAAAGAACGAGTTCACGAAACCGTTCGTCTAAATTAAAGGTGCTTGACATCTAGAATTAATTATACAATGAGTGTAAAGTAAATTTACGAGTGAATTCAGTGTTCAAACTGTAATTAAATTTATTATACTAATTTTTTTGCTCTGGAAGGATCGCGGTTAATTTTTATTTTTTGTGAAGTATATTTCTAAGCTTATAACTTTCTTATTAGATGACCTAACAGACTCAATCAATAGCCATTTGTAGAGCGTCTTTTACTGCATCTTTCTATTATAGAAAGAAATTTACAAACACGTGTTTTACTTTAGAAAAATTTATTATACAAATCGAGTCAACACATCTGGCCCACTCCTTAATCGTTTGAAAAATTATAAGGAAGAAAAAGAGTATATTATTCTCAGAAAAAACTACTGATAATTGAATATTCAGTTTTATTAACCACATATCAAACATTATGCAAACTTATAGTGTATATTGTCTTCGATTGTCATTCCAGTAGATTTTGTAAAAGTCATGCGTAGTCTAGACGGCGGTATTAACAGGCTAATTTTTAATCAGACGATGTTCTGCTCTGCTTGAACTTTGTAGCAAAAGTTTTAATACCATTAAATAGGTCATAGTCCTAAATATATGTAGCACTATTTGAATCTTACATAAGTATACTTCCGATTTTCCAGCTAAGATTGACTTGATTGCCCACAGTGGACTATTGCTCACTGACTAGCTATTAAATTGTGATTTGATTCTGCAACGATGGATATATGTATTCGTATGAGGTGATGGTATGGATGTGATGATAAGAGACACGCTCTCACCCATATGTTAACTTTTTTTTGTGCTCAACTTTCGTTGTGGTGGTTGTTCTTGTGTTTGACTTTCATCAAGGTGAAATACGACAAAATAATCTTGATATTTAAATATAAAGTGATTATTGAAATTCAGTTGTCAACAATGCCCAGAAGACTTTTCATTTTCTATAATAAAATCTTTTCTAGTATTTATATGTTACATGAAGAACGAGAATTTTTTTCTTTTTCTTTGTCGAAGAGAAGAAAAAGAAAAGGAATCGTTGTGATGTTTTTTCTTTTTATTGTTCGTATATGTTGCTATAGGTTGTGATGACAGCAAATATCCATGGTAGTTGTATTAAATGCGGTAAAAGTGGTGGAGTGCTTTTTTGTAATGGTTGTCAACAAACATTATGTTTTAAACATGTTAATGAACATCGGGATGAGCTTGAAAAACAATTAGAAGATTTAATTAATCAAGAAAATCAATTTGAAAATGATCTTACCAAAAAAGATGATTCACATTATTTATTTAATGATATTGATAAATGGAAAAAAGAAACTATTGAACAAATCAAACAAATAGCTAAACAAGCTAAACAAGATCTTAGAGAATTAATTAATCAGTCAAATGAAAAATTGTTAAAAAGATGTGAAGAAGTTAAAGAAAATGTTCGTTTATTAAAAGAATCGGAAGATTTATCAGAAATTCAACTAAATAAATTGTCGAATGAATTAAATAATTTAAAAAAAGAAATAAATTCCTTTCAATTAATAAAATCATCAAATTCAATTTTTCTTAAAATTGAAAAACAAGAAACAAATGATATTTCTCAAATAAAATCATCATCGAATGAAATTGTTTTACCTTGTATAGAAGAAAGTCATTCAAAAAGAGTAGGTAAGATATATTTCAATAAGTTTATTTTAAATTTATATTTAAAGCGTGTAAAGGTTCAATATCAATAGGTGAAATTGATCGATATGGACATTTTATTATAATTGAACATAATGGATTAACAACTGATAAAGAACAAGATATGGTTGGATGGACATTAAACCGTTCAATTGATTCTTATAAAGATATTATTTATCGATTTCCAAATGATTTTACTCTTAAATCAAAATCATTGGTTAAAATTCTTTCAAGAGAAGCAAGTCAAGGACGTTATTCATATGAAAAAAATAATATTTTAGTTGCTCAATCAATATCAACATGGGGAACTGGAGTTAAAACAATTATTAATCGTCTTATTGATGCCAATGGAGATGAAAGAGATGTTCTTACGCAAACATTTTAATTATTTTTATTCAAAATCTTCAAATTTTTTTTTATTGAAAAGAATATTTGAACAATTGTTAATAGATATTTTTTCTTTTATTCTATCTTATATATTTCGATTCGAATTCATTAAATAACCATTTCTCAACTTATACCATTAAATAGATATCCATTTATTATTTTACTTTTTATTTAGTCAATTTACCAATAAACAATATAATCAGTTAATTAAAGACAATAATTATAGAAATATTTATTCGAAAGAATATTTTTTTTAAATATTTATTGTAATCGATATAAATTTATCGTTTTTTTTTCAATTGAATATTTTCTTGATTAGTAACAACATTAAAATAAGTTGTGAACTAGTATCAGTATGCTCTTGAACTGTTATATTGATCGATGACTAATACTGTTTAAAACTATATTGATGAATGATAATACTCCTATAGGTATTTACAGGATTATAATATATAATCTAGTCATTCGACTCTAATCAATAACTATTATTTATTTTATAATAAAAGAGGATGGATTTTTATAGAATAAATGAACATAATTTTTTATTGTTAATAAAGATTCAGATTTGAAACAATTAAACATATATACCTCTTTTATATCAATCAAAAAAGAGATATATTCATTAGATAAATAAATAAAGAAGAAAAAAATAACTTGTCTTTTTCTTATTAATTACTAATTGTGAATAAATCTAAAGATAATCCTATTTTCATTGTATTTATCGATAATAAATAATTGCCAACGAAAACAAGAAAAAAAATTTCTCTTTGTCATTAGATACTTTCTCAAATAGTTATTATACATTAGTTTAATTGATTCATGAAAATTTCTCTCTCTCTTTCTTTTCGCTTCTTTTGATTTAAGTTTTCTTGAATAATAACAAGATAAGGACTATGCTTGATCGAATAAATAATAATCCGAGCATTTTTTTCATCGATTTTATATGAAACAAGACTATTTTATTAATGAATAAAATAAAAGAATTTTGAACGAATATTAATAATAAGAATAAAATAAAATATTCAAAAAAAAAACTTTCATTTGTTTTAATAAAACATTGAGGAATAAAAAGTGTTTAATTAAATAAATGATCTGAAAATAATTATTATTGAAAGATATATCAACATATAATATGAGTAGATTGTTACAGTTCAATATCGAATCGTTTTCAAATCAACTGATTGATAGTTTGACCTGCTTCGAACACACTCGCTCAAATAAATTTTTATCTCAACGAAGTTCAAGTTGATGATTAATTATTTTAAAATGATTCTAACTAATTATAAACTATTGAGGAAAGTTGTTTGAGTTAATAAGGTGGTGATATAACATTCTCTAATTTGTTTCAAATAACTCATTTACCAATTAGACACACTAGGAATATCTATAAGTGATATGATATTGAATTGTTGTCAAAAAAATCTTTTGAAATTTTTCAAAAGACTTAAAAGAATAAAAATATGATTATTGACTGAATAGTTCAAGTCAAGTCTCGATAGTCAACCTAACTGAAGAATTCAAACGAAACATACATAATTAAAGGTTCGATTTCGTAGATAGTTTTAATTTTCGAAAAAACAAATAATTGTTTTAAAAAAATAAAAGTAAAAAGAAATCGATAATATTCAAAGAGAAATAAAATTTGTTGGTATTTTGTTCCAAATTGAAACAAAAGTTAACTAAATATTCATTCTAATAAGATAAGAAATCTATTCAAGTAAAACATTTAGATAAAATCATTTTGTATTTTTTTTTAAATTTCAAGCGAACTAATCAAATTTTTCATGTTTTATATGAGAATAAAAATATATTGAATTGAACTTTCGAAATCGATTTATATTAATTTGAAGATTTTTCAAAATTGATTTTCTTTTTTTAATAGTCAATTTGATAATAAAGATTTAATGTTTATTGATGATAATAGAGATAAGAAAAAAAAAGATATAGAAATGAATAACTAATTTCTAATAAAGAGTTAATATTTATAATTGAAGATATTTAACAATTTTTTCAATTTTATTTTGAATATCTTGATCATATTGATGTTGACGTAAATATAAAAAAAATTCTTTATTTATATCTTGATTAAATGTTTCTTTAAATTGTTGTTGAATTTGATCAATTTGATTTTTTAAAAAATAATTTTTTTGAGAAATTTCTTCAATATCTAAACGCATTTTTTGATTATCTAAACGAATTTGTTCTTGTTGAGCATCTTTTAATTTAAAACGTTCAGATAATTGATTATAAGTTAATTTAAGTGAACGTATTTCACTTTTTTGTTTACGAAATAAATCAAGAAATGCATCTGTAAATATTGGAATTTGATTTTTTTCATTTATCTTTTCATTTGAAGATCGTTTACGAGAACGTTTTACAGATTTTTTTCCTGTTTTTTCATCATCTGATAATCGACGTTTTGATTCTTTTGATACCGATGAACATTTACTCATATCAACATTTTCTTCCATTAGATTTTTATTTAATACAATTCAATTTAATTATTCTTTTATCTAAACAAATATATATTATTATTAAATTATTTTATTTTAATTGGTTAATATCTTTCAAATAAAAACAAAAATAAACATTTTTCGCTAAATTTATGTCAGAATAATACGACATCTATCATTTTAAATTATATACATATTTAAACTTCTTTATTTAGATGATAGAAGTTGACTAATTACACGAATTGTTTCAATCTTATTTGTCTTCATGCTTTTTATTTTTCTATTTTGCATTTTTTATAAAAAAAAAAAAAAAAAACATAAAAATTGTTAAAAATCGTTAAATAGAGCAAGAATCGAAAATTTCATAAGATTAGTATGGTTTTGCTTTATCTTGTTATCCTTTTTTATAAATTCTTATCAATTTCTATCAATCTAAGTAGTTTATTTTCATTGTTGAAGAATATATTAATTGAATATATGAAAATGTTTTTATAAAAAGATCTGTTTTCATGAACATAAAAATAGTTGAGTGTTAATTGATATTCTATTTTATTTTATATAACATAAGAAAAGCTTCTTGAATTATCATGTTCATTAGTATGACGACAAATTATTGTTAGACTTTGTTGGGCATTGATTCGATAAGCTTTTGTTTTCTAAATAAAGTGTTGAATTTGTCAATCAAATTGGAATATATCCTGTAAAAAAAACTTTCTCAATTTTAAAAATAACAAAGTAATTCTAGGGTTTGATGATTTCTCTTCGATACAATTTATATTTCAACTTTTCATAGGAGATTAAATCAATCAAATCAATTTGGTTGAATAAATTATGTTTAATCAGATTTTTTATTGAATATATTTTCAGATTTTAATTGATTATTAGAGATTATTATTTATGATTCATGCATTTCATTCATATTTTAATAGACGAAATTCTTTTAAAAAAACTATTTTATCAGAACGAGAGTTTTTTGCTGAAATTCGACTGATGATTAAATAATGATACTTAGGGCATACCAAAAGTAGTGTCACCATTATCAAATTTCCTTATAGAAAGGTTGAAAAAATGTTCTTTTTTTATGGAAAGATAGAGCGTTTTTCGCTCTATTTTTCTATGCTATTTGATCACTATTCAACTAATATTATAATAATAAGATTTCGATAAAAACTGTTTTTGTTGCAAACTAGCTGGTACCATATAGATCATAATGGGTGTGGCATAAAAAATGAGGTACTTTTGTATTTGACTTTATTGTCGGTTAATAGCTTGTATTAAAAAAAACAAAATATGCCATAAGATACAGCGTGAAAAGCTCTACAATTTATAAAGGACTATTTATTTTATAGTTGTACTTTTTATTTTCAAAATGGACAAAACTCTAAGCGACCAAATTTCGACGTTGCGAAAACGAGATGCCTTTTTGGTAAAAGACGAATTCATTTTTTTCTATCGCATCTTTTTATAATTGTTCTTTGTAAATTGTAAAGCTTTTCACGTTGCATCTTGCAGTGTATTTTGTTTTTTTTAATAAAGTAGATCAGGTAATAAAAATATGAGATAAGAAAAAACGAATTCATCTTTTACCAAACAAGCATCTCGTTTTCGCAACGTCGAAATTTGGTCGCTTAGAGTTTTGTCCATTTTGAAAATAAAAAGTGCAACTATAAAATAAATGGTCCTTTATAAATTATAGAGCTTTTCACGCTGTATCTTATGGTATATTTTGTTTTTTTAATACAATGTATTAGGTGATAATGAAGTGGAATACAAAAGTGTCCCACCCATAATGATCCCAATGGTACCAGCTAGTTTGCAACAAAAATAGTTTTTATCGAAATTTTATTATTATAATATTAGTTGAATAGTGATCAAATAGCATAGAAAAATAGAGCGAAAAACGCTCTATCTTTCCATAAAAAAAGAACATTTTTTTCAATCTTTCTATAAGGAAATTTGATAATGACGACACTACTTTTGGTATACCCTAAGTATTAGTGATAAGAACTATTGAATATATCTGTAAAAATCAAGATTATATACACTAAATCACGCCTAGAATTAGTAGGAGGAAGAATAATAATCGATTTAAAAATCACGATTTATCACAAAATCATCGAAATAATCGAAAAAAAAATCAGCGATTTCGAGGACATGCGTAATTATTCATTTTGATCTATTTTCTATTTTCGTTATTTTGGTTTTCGAACCTATCATAATGTCTATTTAATAAGAACTACATCTTAAGCAGACAAGAAACTCGCCAAATATCTCGTCGCCTTGTCACGAGATAAGATGAGGCAAGACGATGTAACTAGGCGAGTTGCAGATCTCTAATGTGGGATTGGTGAACGATGACCACAAGCAAAGTTAAGCACGGGAACATTCAGTACGAGGAAAGTTGAGTACATAAAAACAAATGAAAGTAAATATGAAGTTTAATACAAGATAAATAAATAACAACTACATAAAACAAAATAGAAAAATAATTACAACGAAATATTGTGTGCGATTGCAT